GAGCAGGTGCCCCCAGAGCAGCGCCCCCAAGGAATACGGCTCGCCCACCAGTCCAGGGTGTTCCCCAGCTGCTTGCTCTAATCCCGCCCCTCTCCTTTCGATCTACTCCACCATCGAAACCCCTTTGGCCTCCATTCTGGACGCCCCCTTATCCACCAGTTTCCCCAGGAAAGCCCCACCCGAATTTGCCGTAACGTCAGCTTCCCTCCTTCGTTTGAGTCATTCTTTCAACATGGGAGGCCTCTCCTTATCTCCATGTCTGTCAAGGCCCAACTTAGATGCCACTGTCTATCAGCAAACGAGACATTGTAATAACATAAGAGACAGCTACGTCAACACAATAAAATACTTTCCAGCACTGACCATGAAAGGATGTCAACATGGATAAACCTTCAAACACAACGAGGAGCCCAGACAGGTCACGTATATTAATAGCTATCGCCGAACAATACCTGTGAAATCATTCAATTCACAAGAACAAAACTCACACGGAATGAAAATCTCAGATGTGTCAGTTTCACCCAAACTCCTGGCACGTGAGACGGATGGAAGTTTAGTTTCGTGCCTGTGATTATAATTCCAAGAAACCGTCCCATCCACCACCAGCTCACACACACCCACACCAACACGACAGCGTTTCTACTTGGTGCCCCGTGTCATCCTTACAAAACCCAGAGAATGTCTGTGTTTCCTGGTAAACGGCGCACGTGAAGAGCCCACAGAACCAGTGTAAAGGCGTGCTCATGGGAAGGAAGTCACACGTCATCGGGACATGCAGCCTCCTGAGCCGACAGGCGCCTTTTTCTTTCCCAAGTCCCACATACCAGTGGTCGTCGGCCACCAGCACCCCGGACAACTGGATGTCGTGGCTGGCGCCTGGGCCACGCTTGCCAACGGTTGTCGTTCCCTCTTTCACCACGTAGAGCAGCATCTCCGACAGCTGAGGGTCTTCGCTGAGGTTCACAAGGTGGGGCAGGTGGTGGTCCGTCTGAAATGTGATTCCTGCTTTCTAGGAGAAGTCAGAAAAAAAAAATGCACCGTAACCACAAGCATGAAATTGTTAAATTCATCTAACATGAATTTACCGTCTACGGTAAACACTAAAATCGCTCCGTGAAGTCTCCGTAAGTGAAGGCTCCTTTCCCTACCAATGCACAGTGGAGTGACTGTGGCAGCTCCCTAGTGCCTGCCTCCCACTCTCAGCCCAGAACCTCATGCCAGGTTCACTCTCCTGAAAGGGCATTCTCCAAATGTCAGCCTCCTGGCCGAACACTTTCAGTGACCACTCCCTTCCTACAGGATAAAACTCGAGCTCCTTGGCCTGGGCATAAGTCCTCAACAATCCCTCTGTAACACACCCTCCGTTTCACCTCCTATGTCCTTCCAGACCGCTGGCTCCAATGGAACAGACGCGCACACCGTGCTCTGGCACCCCGAGCTCCCCACCTTTTCTCTCATACAATTATTCCTTCCCAGAAAGCACTCTCCGTTTTCCCCACCTACCAGGATATTACCCTTGCTTCCAAGCCCCGCTCAGGTCGCACGCCTTCCGTGACGTTGGGCTGGCCACGCATGGACCTTTGCCCGTCCTCCGAATTCTTACAGGACTTGCCTACCAAGCACCTGAAATACTTCCTTACTGCCAGCACCTCTGCCCTGACCCACCCCCTCCCATCTCCTTTGCAGCCCCGCTCCCTGAGGGAGTTCTGATTGCTACAAAAACGTCCACGTCTCTTTCATCCTGTAAAGGAACAAAAGCCACACCAAAAGCAAAGCTCCCCCTCCAGCTCACAGCCCCCCCGACTCCTACAAGCCTCACCTAAGCTTTGCAGAGTCCAGGGAGGCGCTATCTCCTCATCTCTTATCGTTCCCCAGCCCACTGCCATCCGGCTGCTCCTGTCACCTCTGCAATGACCTCGTCACTACCAATGCAACACACACACTTCAGGAACCTCAGTCTAGACTTTTCCAGTTCTCTCAACACCCACAAGGGGTAAAAACAGCTCTCGGTCCTGTCGATGTGACCCCTCTCTGCCCCTCGGGTCCAGCTCTCCACTCACCACTTCTGCGGCCACTGCCTTGCTCCAGCTCACACTACTGTCTCCCGCCTTCACCACAGCACAGGCTCCTGGGTGAGCGAGCCTCCTGCCGGCACCAGGCTCTCGTTCCCCAGCCCATCTCCCACACACACGACGACCAGAAGCTTGTTTAAAGCACGTCCCTTCACCCAAGTTCAAGTTCCTCACTGCGCCATGGTCTGCCATCTACATCTCCCTGCAGTCGAATCTGTCAGCAGCATTAATTCACAACTTCCTGCTCTGACACCCACGCTGCGCTGTGCCTCCACGAACATGGTCCTGCTGCGGAAAACTCCAACTTCCTGAGCGCCCAAGGCTCTCCCACCAACTCGTGCTGAGTCGTCCCTTTCTGTGCCCTCAGCACAGCTCACGATTCCTCCCCCTCCTGCTTCTGTGCCCGTTACACACTTCACATTCCAGTGGCGGGAACCATGTGAAACTGCCAACTTTTACCTAAAAACCGGTAGTTTCTGATGGAGGCTCACACTGCACTCACCTCACCCATCGCTATTTTGTAAACGCCCCTCTGGATCGTGGGCTGTCAGAGCCAAAACTGCGTGTCACTCACCTGGCCTCCCCGTGCCTGGAGCAGCATAAACATTTACGAAATATTTGTTGAAGCAGATAGTTGGTTTATATGTTAACTTCCCGACGAGCTTACGGGCTTTTGCTCTTAACAGTTCCTTATGCTAATTCTCTTTACGGCCTTGCTTGGTACAGGGTCAGTCGACAGTATTTGAGAATTTCATTTGCGTATTTATTGGCATGTTTCTTTAACTTTTAGTCACTTTAGAAAGTTGAGAGATACCTGTAACTCCTTTATTTCTTGAAGTTTTCTTTTTTCAGCTTGTTCAAATTTTTCTTTCCATGCTCTTTCCAAAGACAAACAAAATTAAGAGAATTTAAAAAAAACAGATATATATGATTGAGAATCAAGAGCCAATCAATAAAGGCTATGAAACCACTTAGGAATACATATGATAGTGTGGGGGTGGGCTGCTCTACTCATACAGGAGAGGGTGCAGGGAAAGGTGCAGGGCCCTCCTAGGCCCCGCCCCACCTTTGGCCCCGGCCCTCACCGCCCCACCCCAGGCCCCACCCCACTCCATTCTGTCCCACCCCCGCGCCAACCCGGGCCCCGCCCCACTCCTGCCTGACTAGTCCTAGGGCTCCTGGGCACCACATTGAAGGTGTTGGGTGTACCCCACCTTTGCATTTCCGCCATGTCTCTCTCCTGTTGGTGCAGTTTCATTCTTAAGGATGTTATTTCTTGTCGACAGAGCCGATATTGCTCGGGGTCAATATTCTGACGGCTTCTTTGAGCAGCTTTTAGCTTTTCAATTTCTGCTTTCAACTCTAAATATTTGTAAAGAGATGCCTGGTTGGTAACATTTGATATAGAATAATTTCCACAGTCGGCATAATCACCCAGTCTTCCATTTTGTTTGAAGTTTTAAATATTACTAAATAAAATAGAATCTTTGCCGAAATCAGCTTTACTGTCCTCAGTTATCTATAAATCTCTACCTAGCCTTGACCTAAAAACGTGCTTCCATATTGGTGAATCTCCCCCCACGTAAGCGGGTGGCCCTAGAACGTACTGTCCAAAGCAGGGCACTTTGGAGAAGGAAGGGGCTCTGAGACAGACAGACACACACTGGACTGTCCCAGGCAAACCCGACTTCAGAGATATGGGGGATGAAGATGAAAGGTCTTCACGCTGGAATTCAGAATCCTTATGTCTAATGAGAACGGTCCCGTTTGGTAACGAGAGGATCCCGAGTGGAAAGACAGTGACAGAGCAAAGTCACTCTCTCTGGCCCATGGCCCGAAGCATCTTTCAGTTCCTGCTCCTGAAAAGGGCCGGAGGACAGAGGGTGGAGGGTGCTGGTTCCATGGAAGCGAGAAGGAGGGAATATGTCCAGACTCCCTGCAGGCGTCCATGCCTCCCAAGCAGGTGAGTGCCGAGAGGTAAATCGAGAGCAGCATTTAGCGTAAGTGAAGCCACACAGGTGCTAGAACTCAAGATCAAGTAGCCCCTGGATCAAAGAACCAGGCGAGAGCTGCAAACGGTGACTATGGAGGAGGGTCCTGCGAGGAGAACTGAGCACAGGACCAGTGCCACCTGAGCATCTGCGACGCGGTCCACGGCTGCCTCTCCTTTGCTCCTAGTCCCCGGTGCCCACTGTCCTCGAGGCCCTTTTCCTAGATGTCCCAATCCTCATTCTCTCTCCCACTACCTCTGCCCGTCTTCTTCCATCCCTGCAGGATGACGACAGGATCTACTACGAATAAGCGTGGGAAAAATAATTGATTTTCTTAAGTTGCATATTTTCATGACCCAAATTAACACGTGAGACGAAGCTGCTGCCAAAGGAATCTAACCTCTAGGAAAACACTCACCTCTGATCAGCTTAGCATTTACGTCTTCGTTGACTTTGGCGACGTTGACTATCTTCCGGGCTTGCTTAGCGTATCTCAGCGTGCTCAGCGTCTCCTCTACGTTGCTGGCGGCGGGACTGACGGTAGCAATCATTGCAGTTTTTGAATTTCCACCGAGGCTTTCTTTTAACAGCCTGCCAGGAAAAAGGTCCTAATGAGGCTTTGCTCTACAACCTAATAACAGTAGTTCCCTAGGAAGCACAGAGCAAACTAACAGGGTGTATAATGCAGTATCATGCTCTTCACTCCAGTGAGAGGTTTTTTGGTATTTGTAGCTGGTTTTAGATCTCATGAACACTTCATTTTTTCTTATGGCTTTTACATTGCTTCATGAAGCAATCATCTGTGCAGAGATTTTAAAAAACAGTTAACCATCAACTATTTAGTAAGCATCCTCCTTCCACGCTAGACTGAGCGACTTGAGGAAGGAGACGCTTTGTCTTAGTCACCTCCGTATTTCCGGGGCTGCCACAGCCTTTTTGAGAAGACGCTCGATAAATGTGGAAAATGGTGAACAGACATGCAAACAAAAATTTGTTTTCTACCAAATGCAAAGGCCTTTATTCTCCAACATAGAGAATAAAGAGCATGAGACTAAAAAGCCTATCTTTATTAATGAAGAATCAATTTCACTATTCTTAACTTTCAAAGGCATGAAAAAAGGCCAGATTTTCCCTTCCAGGTTTTCAGATGCCAATTATAATAAGCCAATTCTGAAGACACACTGCTGTCAAGCACGGATGCATCCTTTTCTTTAATGCTTATCAGAACTGGATATTAGTCTCTACAGGTGTCACGGGAATGGAGTGTATCTGAAATGAAATACACGTTCAATAGTGAAGACACATGGAACACTTACATGGGGCCAGTGTGAGTTAAGCAAACAAGGCTGTTCAGTGTCCCTCTGCACTCACGGTGACACGTTGGTGACGCCCAGATGCCCCAACACCAGGCACTGATGACATGAAAGGCAGCACCAGCTGCTTCCACCTACTGTGCACGGAGTCTCATTCATCACCGAACTCTCATCACAACCCTAAAGACGGGTCCTGACGTTATCCCATTTTACAGGTGAGGAAACGGGCTAGAGGACTACTGATCTGAAAGTCACAGAGCCTGTAGGATGCAGAGCTGGGATGCTAACCAGGCAGTTCGGCTCTAGGATTCACACTGCTAACACCTCTTCCCTGCCCCACAGTTCTACAGAATCTATTATACAAATATAAATATATATATATATAGAAAATATTGTCTATTTTAGACAATTCTTTGAGCTTGGAAAGATACTTGCCATGTGAGAACCGACTCGCGGTAAGGAATAAACACCCTCCTTTGGTTTGCTTGTTCAGACAGCGCGGATATGACCTTGCCCAAGGTCAGCAGGGACCTGTTGATGCTCACGCCTTCCTGCACAGGAGGTACAAACAGAAACAGGTTTTAATGTGAGCTGACTGCCCAGAACAAATTTATTCCACAAAACATACTCTCCCCTCCATAATTATGGTCCAAATATTTTCTCCCATACACTCCAACTTTCTTATGATGCAAAATTTGCCAATTTTCTTTGAAAAGCAATCATAACCAAAAAAGTATGGATTGCTCTTTAAACTACAGCAATGCGGTCTATAAACTGCCGATAAAGATAGACTTTGTTTGTTTGTTAAGTATATCTCCTCTGTAATCGCCTAAGAACAGAGCCCTGGGGACTGAGCCCGTCCCAGCAGGAAAGCACCATACGTACCTTCAGCTGCTCCCCCTGGGTCTGAGTGGAGCCGCAGCGCTCGCTGCCCGCCAGGTCGATGAGGTTTATGCGGCTAGTGACTCTGTGGTCATGCTCCTCCCCATCCACAAACTCCGTCTGCAGACAATGGTATTAAAATAACACGTCATAACTTCTTCTATGGCTTGGCCTCCCTACGGGTCTTCAAAAGGAAAGTTACAAGCTGCTCACTTATTTTTCAAACTGTCCCTTCTTGAATCTGAGATCATTTATAATACATAAATAATGAAGAATACACTGAGCAGTGTTTGGATTATGCCAAAATAAAACAAAAGACTTTAAAGGGATAAAAACCTATGACTACTCAATTACATTACAAAACAACCATAAATAGACAAGGAGCTTAATGTACAAAGGTGGTGTTTATCCCAGCATTAAAGTAGCAAAGTATTTAAAAGCAACGTAAATGTCCAACAACAGAGAAACACTTGAGGAATTACCCGTAGTCAATGGAATATTATGTAGCTGTGAAAAATAATACTTTGCAAAGAATTTTAATGGCATAAAATTGTTGCAGGCTTTGTAAATTTGTTTAAGTGTGATTGTAAAAGAACTGAAAGATTATAAACCAAAAGGTTTAGAGGGATTTTGTATAGCAGAACCTATGACAGAATTTTAAAAAATCATTTTCTTTCTGATATGATTTTCCAAATATTGTATAATCACCATATATTATTGATAATATATTATCATATATTGATATCAAGATAGATTAATAATCATGTATTGATTTTTTAAATAGCGAGAAAAACATACTGCCATGTATACCAAAATTGACTCAAGAGTTATTGTGTATATTTCCTAAAATCCATTATGTTATCTATTTATATGAATGTACTTTTACCTTTAATTTAAAGAAAAACATAAGGGAAACTTGAAAATACTCTCTTACCTAAGAAAAGAATCAATAACAGAAAACTACCTTGGTCTGCGTCATCAGCAGGGTGAAAACCGAGTGAGATCGGGAGCTTTTATCATTCATGCCGGTGGCAGCGGTGGCTCTCTGCTTGCTCCCCAAGTCCAGCCAGCTCTAAGAGAGAAGAGGGGTGTCAGCACTGCGGACTGTCATCACTGGAACAGTTAGGGACAGCAAAGTTAAGTCAGCACAACTGGGAACATGTACACATGTATAAGTTTATAAAAGGAAATCAATAACAAATGCTTAGCATTCCACGATCTGTAGTCCCCTTGTCTACTTTTTCTGTTACTCAAATCTGAATCAAGAAATAATACCTTTAAAAGGCTGTTTCTCTAACTCTAAGATGACATCATGGTCAATTTTTATTTTTAGTTCAGAAAAGCAATTCTTTTGATTAAAGTTTAACAAACAAAATCAGTTCGTGATAAATTAACAAGATTAACCTTTTATTCATGCAAACAGCAATTGAGGGATTTTCTTATGAATATTTATGATTATGATCTTTCTATGTAGTGGAAAGATGACAAAATATAATCAATCTTACCTGGATATCAGAGTAAGAACTGACAACATTCCTATTTTTAAAAAGTAAAAAGACAAAATCAATTTGACTGATAATTACACTCTTGTTCTCATAAATAATAATAGTAACCTTTTAATGACATAGTTACTTTCTGAAGACCACAGTGGACTACTTCACAGGTTATTATAAAATAATTCTAACAGAACCTTTCATTTTTTCCATTCTTAAAGGATAGGAAATAAAATAATGCTTTAATTTTACCAAAAGGGATGACAGTATTTTTCTTAATATAATGAAGCATCTCAGCATCTTAACCCGATAACATTCACGTCTAAATCGTGGACCCACCAGACAGACTTGAACCCATAAGTGTGTGCGCAGCTCTACGTAAAGTGTGTGTGTAGGGGCGCGTGTAGGTTGGTGTGGGTCTCAATACAAACCCACACGTGTCACATGGAGCTGAATCCACACTGAAGCACCTTTCCTTTCACTTAGGAAAAGACAACGTATGTGACTCTAAGCACGTTTCAAACTCTTAACATTGAACTCATCTTAGGCACCATCTCCCCTTTTCAGTTTAAAGCGACAGAGCAGCTTGAGAGGAAAGGGTTAAGCTAACTGGGAGAGCAGGGGGTAGAAGGGAGAAAATCAAACACTGCATCCTCTGTGTAATTAACCCTATGTCAGGCCCTTTACAGACGCTGGGAGAGACATAAACGGGTATGAAAAGCAGCGGCTAACACTCCACGGTGTTTGTTCCGACAAGGCGGAGTTAGCTGGGGAGCATTAGGGTGGAAGGCTGGATAGTTATCCAGGGCCCACGGGGACAACACTTGGCCCCCCGTTTTCTGCCCACGCCTGCTGAGCAAACACTTACATCGACAGGGCCTCCACGTACGGTCCAGAAACAGGGTGCTCCCTCACTCTTAGCTGGTGGGAGCAAACATTAGCATCATTAAGAGGGTGACAGGATTCACATAAAGCACATTTTAACTAACTCTTCCTCTATGTTTCAAGTTTAAAGATATTTGTCTTAACTGTACCCAGAAATAAATAATAAATGTTCTCGCAGAAACAACCCGTAAGGCGTGAGGACACTGCGCCAGCCCCATAAGCTGCCTGCACCTGCAACAAATGTAACGTGGCCGCAGCATCAAAGCCCTGACGGGCGTCGTGTCCTCCGGTCCTGTGGGAGCTGCTATTTACATGCTTCCAGGTCGCTCTTGAAATTATGGTCCATAAATTTCAGGCAGGGAACACTTTTTTCAGTTTTACATTATACGTTTTAACCTTTGTGACCGGGAATTTTATACCACGTGGCGGTCACAGGCGACAACACCAAGTCCAGCTTAAGCGTCTGGACGCTGCCCAGAATAAACCGTGTGAGCAGGACGAGGGACCCCTTCCAGTTGCTTCTTGCCCTCCAAGTCCTTTTCAAAAGTAAAAATTTTAAATTCTAATAGCAGTTTTTTTTGAAACTTACGTATTTGTGAAACTTTCTATTTCACAGAAACCACTACCTATAAGGTATCGATGTGCTAAACAACCCGGTGAAACACATTCTATAATAACACCACCACTTTCCTAAGCTCTTCCTGTCCTTTGGCTTTGCAGACGTTAAGGGATTTGGTGTTTGGCTTGAATGGCCTGGCTTAACCACAGCTTGATCTTGAACTTTTACAAAATACTTGCTTAAAATGAAAAGAGGTTAATTTAATAACTAATGTAATTTTGGCTTATTTACTAAATAACAATGCGTTTAGGCTGTAGGTCCCACCCACTGGCTGACACATAATAACACTTTAGTAACAATTTAAGCCATATATATCATCTCGAGAACTAATATAATTATATGCATTTATAAAAACAAATTTAAAAAATAATAAATTGTTTTATTCTTACTGGTTGCTTTCTCTGCCCATTTTCACCTTTGCAAACAAGAAGGTCATGAATTTTTTCATTATACACTTCAAAGAAGCTCATTTCAAGGTGATAGCGGACCTAGAAAGGAACAGAAACACAGCATGTAGCTTATTTTTAAAGTCCTTGCATTTTTTGCAAATCACATATCTGAAACAGGGCCTAGTATCTAGAACATATAAAGAACTCTTACAACTCAACAACAACAAAAAAACCCCATTTAAAAATTGGGCAAAGGCCTTAAATGGACATTTCTCCAAAGAACATACAAAACTACCAACACGCACGTGGAAAGGCACTCAGCATCATGTCAGGAGGGAAATGCAAACAGAACCACCATGAGATACCACCTCCCACCCACCAGGATGCCTGGAACCACAGAAATAGAAAAGTACAAATGGTGAGGAGGTGGAGAAATCGGAACCCTTCTACGCTGCTGGTGGGAACGTAGAATGGGGCAGCCATTGCAGAAAACAGTCGTCAAAGGTTAAACTCAGAATTACCGTGTGACCGAGCAATTTCACTCCTACCTCCCCAAAAGAATTGAAAAGAAATTCAAGTATAAAATTATTCAAATAAAAACTTGTACACCCATGTCCACAGCAGCAGCACTACAGAGCAGCCCAAAGATGGAGACCAAAATGTCCACAAGCTGATGACGGACAAACCAAATTGGTCCACCTGTACAGTGAAATATTATTCAGTCACAAAAAAGGAACGAAGGACTGATCCATGCTACAACACTGGTGAACCCCCAACACATTATGCTCAGTGAAAGAAGCCTGACACAAAAGGTCACATGCGGTGCAATAACCCTTATATGTGAAATGTCCACAAAAGGTAAATCCAGGGAGACAGGAAGCAGATCAGCAGGGCTGGAGTGTGGGGAGGGGATGGGCTGTAACTGCCTAAGGGGCACAGAATCTCCCTTGAGGGTGATGAAAATTTGGGGGACCAGAGGTGGTGGTTGCACATTATGAATATACTACATGCTATCACGTCCCGCGTGACAAGGGCTGGGGTTTGGAGGAGGGGCAGCGATGGGTTAAGAAATCACAAGAGTCAAAAATAGAGTTTCTGAGGGCTAGGGGAAATAACTTTTATTTACAACTGTCACAAAGAAGTCAATTTGAATATCTATACCCAGTTAATTGATTCGATTAGACCTGGCAGCTGCTTCTCCAAAACTCATTGTGATTGAGCACCAGTTGTGCTATCACACATACTTATGATCTCAGCATTCCGAGACCACTGGATAGGGAAGTTTTACCAAGACCATTCCCTGGGGTCTCAGCATGCCAAGACACTCCCTTAGGACTTCAAAGGATCAGTGCGCAGGAGCATTCGAGTCAGCAGCTGCAAGGTGACAACATGCCACTGAAATTTACACTTTAAAATGATTAGTTTTATATTATGTGGACTGTCTCTCAATTAAAAAAAATTTTAACAACAAAAGTCCTTGCATTTCTCCTTGTGAACTTCTAGGAAAGGTTCGGTTCAATCTGGTAAGTACTGACCTACCATGGGTGTGGCTTTGGACTATATTACAAGGACAGAGAGAAGTATAAGACAAGGTTCTTGCCCATGAGGTTTTGGCTCCGAAATATACCAGCGCACCCTCCAGTACATGAGACAGAGCAATAGAAAATAAAGAACCAAAATGGGGGAGCACAACTATAAATAAAATGACTAATCAGAGGGGAGAGGTTAGGGTGGCCAGAACGGCTGCGGAAGCAGAAAAAAGGACATGCGGCACGAGAGATGGAGTGGCCGGGACCCTGTGTGTTGACATTTGATCTGGTAAGTTGGGCTCTTAAGTCAGTAATGCTACCTGGCTGGGCCAGAAAGCAATCATCAGACTAAGTAGGGATGAGCTTCTGCACCTTCTGACTCTGAAAGACAGGGTATAAAGGCCAAAAAGGGAAAATTTCCTTCCATATAGCCTTTGTGACAGGGCATGGTTTCCATATTACAGAAATAAATTTCATGCACTGGCCCCAAGTGAGTCACCAACATCAATACCAACAGAATTGGAAGCTTCAAGGGAGCTTCAGAGAGATTTACATTCAATTCACCAAATATTTATTGGACCCTACTAGGTGCAAAGCACTCTTCAAGGTGCTATGGGAGAATCTAAAATGAACTAAACACAGTCTATCTTCAAAGAACTCACAGTGTAGTTGGAGATACAATACAGTATGTGAGCAACCACAAATACCACCACCACCACCACCACCACAAGCACCATCACTACCACCATCACCATCATCACCACCATCACCATCACCATCATCACCATCACCATCACCATCATCACCATCACCACCACCACCATCACCATCATCACCATCATCATCACCATCATCATCACCACCATCATCACCATCATCATCAAGACCATTATCACCGTCACCATCACCACCATCACCACCAGGTGACAGGTCCACAGTGAGACATGGGACTCGTCTACTCAGCCCACTTTTCCTCTCATGTTCTCAGTGAAAGCCATCAATATCACTCTGGTTCTCCAGCTGTGAACATTGGCTCCTATGTCCCTCACCCTACACTTCCAACTGTCACTAAGTTCTACTTACTGAGGTATCCCAGATGTGTGCCCCTTGTTCAACCCGACTGTCACCAGCTTTGTCTAGCTCCTGACATGCCCCCTCATACAGCTCGTGGCCCCACAGTGGGGCTCTTTGCCTCCAGTTCTGCTTCTCTCCAACCCATTCTCCACACTTCAGCCACTCCCACCTTTTTTCAAAACAAGAACAAATATGACCACATTACTTCCCTACTGAAAATCCTCCCATGGCCTTCTACATTCCTGGAAGCAAGGTTCACAAAGTCCTTCGCAGGCGGAGTTCTGCCTGCCCTCTCATTCATGTCTTGTCACCCTCCACCCTCTCATCCATGCTTAAAGCCAAGTGAACCGAACGGAGATTCCCAAAGGCTCCCTAGCTCTCTACACGTGCTGCTCCCTCTGCCGGGAACGTCCCCCCTCTTCCCCAAGCCAGCCGCTGTTATGTTTCCTTCAAAGGTCAGCTCACCTGTCCCCTGCAGTCTTACACATTCTCACAGCACGCTCTTCTTGTTCTAGTGTAGTATTTACTTTAACATTTAATGGCTTGTACTTGGCTGTTTACCTCTTGTTTCTCCATTACACTCTCTTAACCCAAGGGGCTGGGTCTTGAACTCCTTACTCCCAAATCGAGCCAATAGTCTCCAGCCTCACTATCTCTACTGCTTCCCGTTGTTCTAAAGTTTACGTCTGTGAACTAGTGAAGTCTGTGCACTGGCCTGACGACACGCACAGTGGTGCACAGCTCCCACTGTCACACCCACGCACATGCACACACACACATGCACACGCGCACGCGCGCACACAGACACATGCACAGTAATGAGGCAGAGAAAGCTAGAGACAGCGGTGCTGTCTCCACCACGTCCCCCAGGAGAAACTGAGCCTGGACTCAGAGCCCGGCCCTCTCTCCACACCGCTGCTCCCAAGGAGCATGTGCGAGACGTCAGAACCACTGCTCCCACTAAGTATTTCTGCAGTGGCCACGATTCTGATTTTAAGCTGATGTGACTGTTTTCTAGCCTAATAAGAAGGCCTGCAAACAGCATGAGAACATACCTCTTGGGTTTGTTTTTTGGCTACTTGAGCAAAAAGATCTCCACAAAATCTCGGAATTATTCCCGGTTCTTCACCATATCCCATCATCCTGGAAAATACATTATGAATAGGGGGAAACAAAATTAATTAGGTTTTCTAAAGTTCTTTTTGGGGAATGGGGTGGGGAGGGAGTGGTGGGCCAGCTAATTCAGCCTGGTCGTTAGGGTCTGAGCACCTGGGCTCTGGAGCCGAATCTGCCTGCGTTCAGTCCCGGTTTCCCCACCGACTGGCTCTGCAGACTTGGACAAGATACGTAACATCATCAAACCTCCACTTCCTTCTCTGTAACATGGGACTAAATAAGAACTCTAATTCAGAGGGCTGATGGGAGAAGGCATAAGCAAACCCTTTAGCACAGCGTCTGGAATACAGTAAGAACTCAGTTAAGTGTCGCTACTATTGAAATTCTGAGTACTTTTTCTGAGGCAAGTACTATTCCCTGCCATTTGTTAGGTGGCTTACTTTTAATTCTCGCAACACTTACAAAATCACCTCTCTGGGCTTCGGTTTACACAAGAAGTATAATTTATAGCAAAATGGGGCCAATGATACTTAAAGGTAAACAGCAGCTCCTGCATAAACTGAAGCCCAGGGGTTAAGCAACTTGACCAAGTTTGCAGAACCAGGTAAAACAGGTGAGGTCTGAGCCCAGAGCTGCGTGCTCTCAACACTATAATATATTCTTTTTGTCAAACCACGCTGCTTCTCACGAAAGACGTAAACCTTTCTGGAGGGCTGTATTTGCCATCAGACTCACGTGTATGATTTTCCAGAGCCGGTCTGGCCATAAGCGAAGAGACAGGTGTTGTAGCCTTCGAAGGCTCGTGCTAGGAGCGGCGCCGCCAGGGTCTCATAGACCCGGGTCTGGCTGGCGTGCTGTGGGTGACACTCATCAAACGACCAGAACAAAACATCGTAAATGAAACTGTAAACGTGTTTCATGTCAGGATGTCTCACTACTATTTCTTCCCCGTTCATGAAGACCACCTGGGATGCGTTCTCTACCTTCTCTCTTTAAAAAGCAAAAAGAAAAATACCAAATTACTGTCATTGTTTTGAGTATTATTCCATAGAATACAAAACTATAAAATATAACATTTCAGGGCAAGACAATTCTCTAGATGTATGTGGGAACTGCAGACCAGCAAACATAATTATAGTGGGTTTCCTAAATAAATTTCCTGCAGCTCCAGGTTTCTTGTCCAGAAAATTGTCGTGACTTTTATAGTTTGCTTTTTCCTTTTTCCCTTGAGTTCTGCCCTTTCCCACCCCACCAACTGTCACCTCCCGATAGTATTGAGTTCACATCTGGAAACTTACTTCCAATACATCATAAAGGAATTTTGGAGGTACACGTCTATATAAAGCTGGCATGACACACAAATATAATTTCAACAGTCAGTCGGCTGGGAGTGTGAGTCCTACGTCTCTCTGGCTCCCAGCCCCCACTGGAGTCTCCCCTTAAAGAGCCCGGATCTTCTTCCAGCTCAGACTTCGGTGGGAATCTCTCACTCCCTCTACATCTGCAGGAAAACATTATCAGCCCTGGTCTGGCCCCAGATATCCGTTTTGCCCCAATTCTGCCTTAGATCAGAACTTAGCCCAGAAAGCACCTGCCGCATCCATCCGACAGTGACCCTCCACGGCTGCCCTGCTGACGGGCCGCGGCGGCTGAGTCTGGGATCAGCACTTGGCCCCTCACTAACTTCTTCACCCACCTTGGGTTTGGTTCCTATGGCCTGTTCTTAGCATAGTTAAAACTAATCACATGCTACATGCAGTTTCTCAGGTCCACCTTTTTCAACCCTGCCCATAACCTGTGACTACCCCACCCATGGTCACTGTGGAGGAAGATTTTTTTTGGCCTCGAAATCAAATCTGATAAATTACTGCCTTTTTAAGCACTATTTATCAGAGATGATGATGACGACGGTCACTACCTTTGAGAAAGGGTTTGGAGGGCCTCCTGGGAATAAGTGACCCACCAGTGCTCTTTTTAAGGGGTAGGTAGGAGATCCCATCACATATTGCAGATCTGAAAGCAGACTGCATGAGAGATTTAAGTCATTCAGACTTTTTAGAAGTAGTCTCTCTAGAGACATTTATATTTGCAAAATGTGGTGATTTCAATTATTTAACTTTATAGGCAATCATCAAAAATAATCAACACACTACAACTGAACCTAAAAGTTCCCCCTGTAAATATATCACCGACAAGTTTGAAGGCGTGTGAATACACTGACTTTCCAAAGGCAGAGGTGAGTTACGCATATTCCGTGTCACCAGGTTGCCATTAGATTTTAAAAGGTGTGACGTACCTTTTGCTGAAAGGCCTTATGCGTACGGCCACTGTCACTTGACTATTCTCTACTTTTAAGGGGTCTCTCTGTGTGGACGCGTTCAGACCTGCAGTTTCTTCCTCAGGAGGGAGGGTAAGCTCTTGTGACATGTCCCTTTGCACTGTGTGAAGGGAACTTTTTGGCTTTTGTTTAGCTTGAAAGCTGGGCACCCTGTTTTTCAGCATGGATGCAGCTGGGCTTGTAAGCTGAGGCACACACTTGGGTGTCAATTTGTGTGCTGCAGCACATTTTGTAGGTGTTCTTTTTTCTAAGCTTCCAAACTTATTTGAGTTTTTTGCACTGTCCTTCCCAATATTTCGATGATGTAGGTTTTCTATTCCTGACACTTTGATACCCAGCGTGCCCGGAGTGGGTTTCGTTGCCAAGCAACCTGACCTAACAACTGCAGTATGACTCTGGGGACCGACAGGTGCTCTATGACTTAAGTACTTAAGTGACACGTTGTCACCTGCCCCACTGACAGTAGAAAACGTTTCTTTGTATTTTTCATCAGCCCTTATTTCAGTGTCTCTTGGGTCTTCAGCTAAGGGTACAGACGATGCAACAAAAGAGTTTTTCTCATTATTCACAATCTTTACATGTGTACTGGTTTCCTGTGAAGCATAACTACTTTCTGTTGCGCCTCCCAGGTTCTGTGCTGTTTTCCACTTGTCCACAGAACCTGTCCCAGCTGTTTTCCACTT